AGATCCAAGGTCTTCAAACTCCAATGAATGCTTAGAAATTGATCTATACACCAATTTCATCCTTTATTTTAGCATCACATACTTGTTGAAGTCAACACAAATGTTATGACATGAGGTCACGATATAATGTCAAATTTCTTCAACTCCTGATTTGATTGACTTCCAAGGAACACAGATGTAGTAAGAAACCAAACATTAGAAAACTGAAACGAGCTTCTATAGAGTTGGAAACAAAAGCCATGCTCTAATTTTTATTCAATAGTTGTAACTTCCATGTCAAATTTCTTGAATAGAGACCTGGGTATCTTCTTCTTGATCAGTATTTTGTCTGAAAAACAAACACTAAGATGACTTTATGAGTGGACTTGAGAATTTCTCAAGTATCTTTGGCCACCAGTGATAATGATTTTGAAAAAGAAACTTATCAATTACATTGATTATGATATTGACAACTTCAAAGTTGCATAGAAACAACTCATTGTCTACTCTTCAATCTCTTCAGAATCAGGATTCTCCTATCTTGATAATTCTTCAAAATCTGGTGTCCATTGATAACTAGAATACAATTATTCCAGTCTTCCAAATGAAATAGTAGTAATAGAAAAATTACTCCTTGAAGCTCACCCGATAGACTAGGGTGCCTGCTCTGATACCAATTGAAATTTATCTGGTACATGCAACACATGATAATACTGACTTTTAAACATCAGAACAATGACAAGACTGATGTTACAACATCTGATTTGACATCCTTAATAGATTCATCAAGTTATCACAGAATATTGAAACTTAAACTACAGAATAATAAATAACGCACAAAGTTGTTAACCCAGTTCGGTGCAAACTCACCTACATCAAGGGGCTTCCAAGCCAGGAAGGAAGTCCATTATCAACAGTATTAGTTCAAAACTAAACTCCCCATTTACAACTTCCCGCCCAATCCCTACCCAGTGCAACGTCTACCTAGGTCCTCCCTAAATATGAGAAATCACTATCTCACTTCCTAAATCACCTAAGTGATATCTAACAGTCTCAATCCCAGTGACTGTATTGAGTCTAACTCAACAAGAAGATCATACTTTCATTATAATACTTAGCCAAGACTCTTGACCAAAAACAATACTTGGATTTGCTTAAAAGCTTCATCCAAGAACAATACTCAACTTTTTGCCTAAAGGCTTCTGAGAGAGAATATAATATCGACAACAAGTATCAAAAGATACAAGGGTGACTTATAGTCCACACAATACACAAGAGACTCTCAAAACTTAAGACTTATGTTTCTCCTAATTTTACAATAATTGAAAACTTAAATTACATTAGGTTAGGATTCCTCTTTAAACACACTTCTTCAATCTATAGGCTTCGAAATCTCCATCAGATATTTCTTGATCCACAAGCTGAGAGTTGTATCTGTTGTGCAACAAAATCTCCTTAAATCTTGGAACAAACAATATAAAGTTTTCTAAGTTATTTCAATGCCCAATTTAGTAACTTTTGCACAGCTGGAGACACAAAACTGTTCCAAAACAAATCTTCTTGGCCTGCAAAAATCTCTGAAATATATCTACGAAAAATATAACACAATCAAATCAAATCTGCCAAAATTTAAAAATTGCAGCGCAAGTCTGCTGCATAACAGAGCAGGATGTCACGACATCTGGTCAAAACCATGTTTTAGCAAAAGTTGTCAATCCTAAAACCATAGCACTAACAATATCTAAAAGGCAAGACTCCTTCAATAAAACAAGTCAGTTTCTTGATATCATCTTTAGCTTTATCATCCTGCACCAAAGTATATTTTACACTTGTTTGGGTTTATGTTCAGCCCAGTTGACTTAGAAAAACTATGAAATTTCTTCATCATAAGCTCTATGGATTAATATCTCCTCTTGCAAATAACAATAAATCATCAGCAAAACTCAAACAAACAAGTAATATTCAACTTTTCATGTTTAGAAAGGAAATTAAAATCTGAATTCTTCTGCAACTGAGTCAATGTCCTACTTAAATACTCCATAACTATCACAAAAATGAGAAGGGAGATAGGGTCTCCTTGTCTCATGCCTTGCTTAGAATGTATAATACTAGTGTAATCTCCATTTTTATATATTTTTTGTTTTGTTTAATAATTAAATTTTAAAAATATTAAATTAAATAATAATTATAATTATTCTTTAAAAAATAAAATAAAAAATCATTAATACATTTTTTGAAAATTATTTAAAATTATTTAATTATTAAAAAATTATATTAAATAAAAAATTAATTTAAATCTTTAAACTAAAAAACAATTTTTTTTAAAGAAAACACGGTGCCAATGGATGGCCGATGATCTTCTTTAAAACATCTTCATAGTGTACCCTCGACTAATAAATCATCGAAATGTAAAAAAGTTAGATATCTTTTTCAAATGTAAAGTGCTGGCATTTTACTGTAAAGTAAAAGAAAAAAAAGGTAAAAAGTATTAATCAATTAAAATATTAAAAAATTAAAAATACACAAAAAAATACAACTTAATAAGTAATAGATTCAAAATTTAAAATTTCAATTAAAGAAAGGAAAAAAAAAAGAAAGTAGATTCAATATCTTTAAATGAACAATGTTCTTTTTGTAGACTACTATCTCTAATTATAAAATTTATTTTTAGCTAAATTTTAGTTTTAATTTCTCTATTTTATCCAACTCTATTTTTCTATTTAATTTTTTTTTTAAGTTTTCTTTATATATATATATATATATATATATATATATATATATATATATATATATATATATATATATATATATATATATATATATATTGAATAAGAGAGAATATGGAGAGTAATTTTTTAGTGAATGAAGATGATGAATAAATAAATCGAGTAAGAAAGAAGATAAAGAAAATGATCAGAAAAGACGATTGAAGAAATAAAACATCGTTAAAATATAATGAATAATTTATTTTTTTTATAGAAAATTAATAAAAATAAATCACGTATCAAAAAAATGGTACACAATATTTTTTAGACGAAAAATAAACATATTTGACTAAAACTGATTAAAAAATAAATAACATTGTTTTTATGAGTTGGCCAAAATAAAGAAACAAAAACTGTAATTTAATATTTACTTTTTTTAATTGTTATTGTCCTTTAATTTAAGATTTTTAAATTTTATTATATATTAAATAAGTGATTTACAAAAAAAAAAACTCTATTAATTTATAATTAGAAAATATGATATTTTCTTTATTCCATCATATTATTATTTGTAAAATTATTATATAGAAACAACACATATATTTTATAAATTTAAATTCCTTTAACAAAATCACATTTTTGGCATATTTGTTTCATAATAATATTTTTTATAGAAAATAGATGATGAAAATGTAAAATAGTTTTATATGACAATCATGCATTCTTCTATATTATGTTTTTATTTTAAAATTCTTTTAATAATATTATAAATTGTTGATTTTTTATTGGATGAAAGTCAATAAGTAAATATTTATTAAAAAAAAAATTCATGTGTGGGATTTAGTTATATAAGCATATGAAATATTCGTTGAGGATAGTTATGGCAGCTGAGCGTCTTTAAGTAATTGCCATCCTATACCATTCCTGTTTCTGCCATTAAATTGAGTTGGAGGAAATAATTTATCACTCACCCTTCCAAGGAATGAATCTCTCAATGCCATTAAATTCATCAATTTGTATTTTTAATTTTATTAATTTGTTATTTTAAATTCATTAATATAATATTATAATAAAGTTTATATAAAAATAAAACTTTTATAAAAAATTGATTATTTTCGAGCACTTTAAAATAATATATAATTCAAATAACATGTTATCTAAAGGTTAAATATAATAAATAAAAAATAAAATTATTTAAAATAAAGGTCATGCTAATCCGTGTTTACAGGAAATTGTTTAAGCATTTTAAATGAAAAATATTTTGAGTTTAATACACAAATATTCTTTTGAAAATTAATTATTTTTATTTTTAATATATTAAATACACATATTTCTTTAAAAAAATTTATCTTTTTAATCTCGTTTTAATCTCTTAAAAATATCTAACTTACTTTTTTATCTCATAACTAATATTTTGGAAGCACTCATTAATACTTTCTTAAAAATAAAAATAAAAAATAAATTTAATAGATCATAGATGAAATGAGGACGAGGTGGATATTAATAATATCCTCATTCAAAATTAAGAATTGGATTTTTTTTCCATACTAGTTGAGAAATTCGTAAGGTTTTAATTGCAACTATTTTATTTAAAATTTGATTTTTTTTTTTATAGTCTACAATAGTAATATATTTATATTATGAAAAAGGAAAATCAATATAAATAAAGTAACATAAAAAACATCATAAAAATGGAAATAAAACAATGATATATTAATTATAATTAAAATCAGAATAAAAAATTTATGAGAAAAAATAATATATACCGATAGTATAAAGTAATTTTACAATGTTAATCAATCACTGCTCTATATTCTGTCAAGTCATTTTTATATTTTTAAATTAATTATATAATATGGCTGAGAGATGAATACTGTTGAATAACAGTGTAAAACGTTTTTCAATACATTATCTTTATTCTCATTTATTTATAATAGACATTATTTTAAAAATAATTATACTGAAAGTCAAAAATATTTAATAATGAATTGTGATTGACTGAAAACATAAAAAAAAATTAAAAAAAAAATTAAATTAAATTAAAATTAAATAAACAATGAGTACAACTACAAATGATGCCACAACATGATTATATTGTACTAGTACAACTATTTTTTTTTATACACACATTCTTTAGTCCACTTGTTCTCGTACGAGTATTGATACCCGACACTCATCCTCTATATTTTCTTGTTCAATTCTTTATTTTCCTTGCTCTGGTTTTGACTTTCTCATAACACCATAAACATGTTTTGAGATCTAGAAAAGTAGGAACATTTCATTGTTTTTTTTTTTTGCATTTGTTTGTAATTAAAAATGGAGGCATTTGAAGTAGTGAATGAAGGGATTGGTGAGCAAATTGAGTTTATTTGGAGGAAAATCAGAGAGCCTGTGATTGTGCCAATGCTGAGAGTTGCGGTGCTTTTGTGCTTAGGCATGTCGGTGATGATGTTGGTTGATAAAGTTTATATGGGAATTTCGATTTGTTTGGTGAAGTTGTTTGGGAGAAAACCAGAGAAGCGTTATAAATGGGAGAGTTTTGAGGATGATCTTGAGTTGGGGAACTCTAATTACCCAATGGTTCTTGTTCAAATTCCAATGTATAATGAAGGAGAGGTAAATCTTGAATACTTTTTTTATTTTTATTTTGATGTCAACTTTTTTTATCAATATATTCTACATCACTATTATATATAAATGTTTTTTTTTTTAAATTTGTTCAGTAATTAATATTTATTTTGAGAGAGTAAATTTAAGGATTTGAATTTAATATAAGAGCATATAAATGCAGGTTTATCAGTTATCAATTGGTGCTGCATGTGGATTATCTTGGCCATCTAATAGACTCATCATACAAATTCTTGATGATTCAACTGACCCAACAATTAAGGTATCTATGCTTCATAACTCACTATATAATAACTTTATAAAAAAAATTAAACTCAAGATTATATATTGGCATTGCACATTAAGATGTGGTACATCTTTGTAACAACATCATATTTAGAGCTGTCAAATGTTCGATCCGCTTTGATTTGGTGGGTCAAAATATTTAAATGAGTTGGTCCGGTTTAGTCGGGTTACTTAATAGATTATAAGAAATGAGTCTGAACCATTTATCAAAGATCCCTGCAGTCTGATGGCCATCCCGACTTGTATTTCAATATTATAGTTTTAATTTTATAAAAAATGATATATTGGATAAAAGCTACATAACGTAAGTAGAGAGTCATCATAAATTTAGTTAGTTAGCACAATCTCTCTAATTGACTAGTTTATACATAATTTAGTTTTGGTTTAAATGGCTCCGTAAATTTAGCGTGAGATTGGTCCCTTTAAATTCATGCATTTGGACACCCTACACTTCTCGAGAGTTGCGGCGCTTATCAGCTTCTAACCTATCCTAACAACATCCTTTGACTTTACCATGCACTTTAGGCGTTCTCTATGCAGAGGGAGGGAGTAGAAAAACACTTATAACTACTCTCTCTGTCAAAATTATGTTTCCATCTCAACACTAAGCACCGACATTTTCTATTTCCCTCAGATCTTACAAAATTTATAATTTTGTAAAGTTTCCCAAAATCCAAATTGGAATCTAATAGTACAAGATAGAGCAATTAACATTCACTACTTTGTAAGGCCATTAAGCGTTTTAGATTCGGATTCATTTGTTAAATAGTCTATAGAAAATAATATTTTTGTTTTTAACTTTTTCTCTGTGACGATAATGAACCCATGTCATAAACATGTGTCATGTCTAGTGATGATTTCCGTTTGCCCAATCAAATGTCAATAGAAAGCGGGATCAATTTTTTTAGTTCTAGAAAAAGTGATAACAACATTAAAAATTAAAATATGTAATAGGATATCATTATTTGATTTATATAGTAATTGGATAACCGGACAATAAAACTGTGTGCTGCTAATTCCTTCTTTATATTTAAATTTTAAATTTAGACTAAAACGAGATGGTCGCTATTAGTAAGATCACATCCACATTTTATTATTGTTTTATTTTATATTTGAGAATCTCAATTTTCTCTTTCTTTTTTTTTTCTGTTAAAGTCAATTTTCTCATTCGAGTATTTTTTTTTCCAACTGAATAATGTGATGTGACATTTATCTTATCCAAAAAGTTTGAAATGGCATCACAGATTTTTTTCCTTCTCTAACTCAACTATTAGTATATCACGAGTTTGATGCAAAACTATCAAATATATGTTTGGTTTGGCTTTTACAAAAACAATTCTAAAAATTTTAACTTTTAAAGAAAAATAGAGTTGATTATAGTTTTAGAATTGATTATAGTTTTAGTTATAATTCGTACTTTCTATCTCTAGAATTAATTCTAGATAATTTTTATACTGAAATTTATTATTCAACTCATTTTTATATAAATGTATTCAAACATAAATTAATTCTACTAAACTCAATTCTGTTAAAATCAATTCTATCAAACTCAATTCTGTTAAAATTGTTGGAGCACAAGGAAGATAAAAGGCAAAATGAATATTTACTGATAGCTTCAAAAATAAGAATTTATAATGAATTACAATAACCTACTCCACTAGGCTATTTATACACACAAATTAAATCTAAAATATATCTTTTACAAAGATATAAGAAGATCTAAGATTTATATCTTCTAACAAAGATATAAATAATGTAAAAGATATTCCTAAATATAAATTAATATCTAATTAAATCTAAATTAATTCTAACATCACCCCTTAATTTATATTTATCCAAAACTGACAACACCAATTTCATCTCTTAAACCAAGAAATTGATCAGTTTTGATAGTCTTTGTCAGAACATCTACCAGCTGCTTCTGAGTGCTACAGTGCACAACCTCTATTATTCCATTCTGAACTTCCTCTTCCATACTCACGGGTTCAGAGTACTAACATTGCACACTGAATAACTTCTCCTTTAGAGTCTACTTCAGTGTCTTGCAACATGTCAAACTCTGCAAATCTTCTTGGGATGCTTCTGACTCTTTGTTGCCTATGAACTGGTCCTTCAGAACCTTGGACACCAGAACTTCCCCCTTCAGAAGATCTTACTTCAGAGTTTTGACTTTCTCCAGAACCTTGACTGTCTTCAGAGTCTTGAAAATTCTCAGGGTCTGAATCATCATCAAAGTCAGAGCCACTACCTTCAGAAATACCATCTTCAAAAGTTGAATCACTTTCAGAAGCTCTGCCTTCAGAAGTTTCACTTTCAGAATCATGATCACTGTCAAAGACTGAATTTCCTTGAGAAGCTCCTCCTTCAGAAGGTCCATCCTTAGAGTCATGATTTCCACCAGAAACTTGATCATCTTTAGAAGTTTGTCCTCCAGAACCTACGTCTTGAGAGTTTTCTCTTCTAGAAGCATGATCACCACCAAATTATGGATCATCATCAAAATCTAGATCAGAATCAGATTCACCATCTGACTCACCTTTAGAGTTTCCAGAGTCATCATCTTCTGACTCTTCTTCAGAAGCAGAATCTTCTTCAGACTCAGAATCACCTTCGGATTCTGACTTGTCTTCAACTTCAGAGTCATCTTCTAACTCTAACTCGTCTTCAAAAACCTCAGATTCTGACTCATCTTCAAAATCTTCAGCGTCATCTTCAAATTCTGACTCAGAGTCATATTCTGATTCTGACTCATACAAAATCACTCCTTCAAAATTAGAATATTTAGAGTCATAGTCTTTACTAGCTTCAGAAACATGTATTTCTGACCTTTCTTCAGAAGTTCTGTCATCAGAGTCAGGACGAGATTTTTCCCAATTCCATACTTCTGATTCCTCTACAATGACATCTCTGCTGAACTCAAATTTGTTAGTTTCTGGACAATAAAGTTTGTACGAGTCTGTACTGTGATACCCCACTAGCAACATCACTTTACTTCTATCATCCAGCTTCCGTCTTCTGGCTTCTGGGACATGTTGTACCATACATAACCAAATACCTTCAGATGACTAACACTTTGCTTATCTCCAGTCCACTTTTGAATAGGAACTATTTCCTTTAATTTCTTTGTTGGACATCTGTTGAGCACATAACATGCAGTTGCAACAGCTTCTTCCTACAGAATATGAGAAAACTTCTTCTCTTTCAGCATGCTTCTCACCATATCTAGCAAAGTACGATTTCTTCTTTCAGCAAGACCATTATGTTGAGGAGTATACGGAGCAGTAACCTCACGCTCAATTCCATTCTCCTCACAGAAACTTCTGAATTCTGTGGAGTTATACTCACCACCACCATCAGTTCTAAGAATTTTCAGAGTCTGGCCACTCAGATTCTCAGCCTTCAGTCTGAAATTTTTGAATTCAGCAAATACCTCGTGTTTGAACTTTATGAGAGATACCCATGTCATTCTGGTGAACTCATCAACAAATGACATAAAATATTTATTCCCTCCAGTCGATGCTACTGGAAACGGACCACACACATCAGAATGTACTACTCCCAAGACATGTTTTGCTCTTGGAGCTACTTTTGATGCAAAGGGTAATCTTGGTTGCTTCCCTTCCATGCACATCTTGCATGACTTTTCAGGCTTCTTGATTGTAGGAATTCCATGTACCAGGTTCTTTGATTTCAGATGCCCTAAACTTCTAAAATTCAGATGACCAAATCTTCGGTGCCATAGCTCACTCTCCTTGACAACACTTGTTGCACTAAGACATTCAGAGTCTGCAGTTCTAATATTCACTTTGAATGTTCAGTTCCTTCCCTGTTCTGACTCCATAATCAGCTTCTGATTACAGTCATACAGCTTCAGAAGATTGTCCTTCATGGTAACTGAAAAACCTTTCTCAACCAGTTGTCCCACACTCATCAGATTGCTTTTCATGCTAGGTACATACCAAACATTCTGGATTACAGCTGCTTTCCCATTGTTTAGAATGATTCTGACATTTCTCATACCTTCTGCATTGAGGTATTTGTCATCAGCACGTCTGATCTTTATACTCTTCCCAGAGTCAAAGTCAACCAACCACTTCTTGTTTCCAGTAAGATGGTTTGAACACCATGTGTCAATATACCACCATTCTGATGAATTCAGATCATCAGGTTCAAAAGCCAACAATAGCACAAGTTCATCATCAGAGTCTCCTCTTGCTATATTTGCTTCTTCTGACTTCCTTTCTTTGTTGGACTAGCAATCTCTGGCATAGTGGCCAAAGTTCCTGCAACAGTAACACTGAACATTCTTCTTGTCAGATTTCTCCTTTCCCCTCTGGATATTCTTCTGCCTATCAGAGTTTGAAGCTTCTGAATTTTGACCACCATTAGTTTTCTTCCTGGCTTCTGACCAAGTCTGCTTCTGATGCTTCTTACCAGAAGTTACTTTCAGAGCCTGCTGCTCTACTTCCCTCTCAGAAGTTCTTGCAGTCATACGCAACTCATGCGCCTCAAGACTACTTTGCAGCTCTTCAACTCTCATGGTGCTCAGATCTTTAGAATGTTCAATTGCTACAACAATGTAATCAAACTGAGAAGTTAAAGATCTCAAGATCTTCTCAATAATTACTTGTTCAGACAGAGTTTCTCCACAAGCTTCCGTCTCATTAGTGATCAAAATCACTCTAGAGATGTATTCAGAAACCTTCTCGTTGTCCTTCATGTTGAGATTCTCATATTGCTTTCTGAGAGACTGAAGCTTCACCTTCTTCACTGATGCGTCACCACTGTAACATCTGACCAGTGTGTCCCATGCAGCCTTTGCTGTTTCAGAATCAGCAATCTTCTCAAACACATTCACATCCACACATTGATGGATGTAGAACAACGATTTCTGATCTTTCTTCCTCAGCACCTTCTGTGCTATCTTCTGGTCCTCTGTTGCATCTACTCCTAACAGATTATAGCCATCAGTGACAAGATCTAACACATCTTGAGAACCAAATAACACGTGCATCTGGATCTTCCAACGATTCTAGTTTTTGCCATCAAATACTAGAAGCTTGGAATGAATATCGTTGTTTCCGTTCATCTTCTACCTTGTGCAATTTACGCAGAAACTCAATAAAATAACAATGTTTCCCATATGCCAGAGTTTCTAACCAGGAGCTCTAGATACCAATTGTTGGAGCACAAGGAAGATAAAAGGCAAAAAGAATATTTAATGATAGCTTAAAAAATAAGGATTTATAATGAATTACAATAACCTACTCCACTAGGCTATTTATACACACAAATTAAATCTAAAATATATCTTCTACAAAGATATAAGAAGATCTAAAATTTATATCTTCTAACAAAGATATAAACAATCTAAAAGATATTTCTAAATATAAATTAATATCTAATTAAGTCTCAATTAATTCTAACAAAAATCAATTATGTTCACCGCCAATCCAAACACACCTTAATTAATTGACTTAACTAGACTACAATGTTAATAATATTAATAGTAAGTTATAAGATTAATGATGTGATTAAGTTAGTATTAATGGTGATTATGAATGCAGGAGTTGGTGCAGGTGGAATGCAATATATGGGGAAGCAAAGGAGTGGACATAAAGTACGAAGTTAGAGACAACAGAAATGGTTACAAAGCTGGTGCACTCAAAGAAGGAATGAAACATAGCTATGTGACACAATGTGACTATGTTGTTATCTTTGATGCTGATTTTCAACCACAACCTGATTTTCTCCGCCGAACCATCCCTTTCCTAGTCAGTAATCCTGAAATTGGCCTCGTTCAAGCTCGTTGGAAGTTTGGTAATTATTTTTCTCCTTTTTCTTATTCTAGATCGTATTAACGTTATAACACATGTTTACACACGTGGTTAGACAAATTGTTGGTGGGTGAGGTAGGTCTACTTGGTGCTTGTATTGTTGGTGGGTGAGGTAGGTATATATATAATGTGTCATGTATAAATAAGAAAAATTGTTGAAATAGTGTTGAAAAGCTCCAATATCCTCAATTTTACATGGAAATTAAACAGCGACAATTTTCTTAATATATTAATATTTTAAAATTTACAATCTATGACAAGATTTATGATGGTGATTGATTTTGAGTGTAAATGCATATCTCATTTTCTCTTGTTATTCTCAAATCGTACACGTGATTATAGTAAAGTGCTTGAAAAGTCTTAAGATTATTCATAATTGACTTTCCCATCCCTTTCATGTTTCTTCAAGAACAACTGTACTCAACCTCTTTGTAGGGCCTTTGTTGAGAATATATACTACTTTAGAAACAACTTGTCTCCAAAATGAACGTGGAAAAGGCTTTTTCCTTTAAATACGCGTCTTTCCATAGCTGAATTTTATATATCTCATTTCTAGAAGGTTATTCCGTTAAGGTGTATAAGGATGAGTGATAACACTATTAAAACACTAAATATCAAATTATTCATGTTGATTTGAAAAGTATATTAAGTTCTTCATAATTTTTGAAATATGGTTTAAAACCACAAATGATGAAGAGAAAGAAGTAGATTATGAGATTATAGAAATTAGAAATCAATTTAAAAGTCGATAATGGTTGTAGTTTGTGGTGCGGTAGAGCTTTGGTGGTTGATGATGGTTGGTTGGCAAAAGCAGTCTGGGTCGGGTCGGTTTCAACAGTCAATTTGAGTTCTTTGAGTATCAACTATGATCCAGACATTTTTTGTGTATCGGGCTGGATTGTTTTAGTTTATACATCAATTTGTTAATGAATTATGTTTTGGACTCGTTAAATATCCATTGGATTTCAGTATTTATAAATATGTAATCATTACTGTTTTAACAACCTTCATAGTTTTGAGAGGTGAAGATAAAGATAAGGGTTTTGAAATCTTAGTGGAAATCTTAGAGAGACAATAGTAAATTTCTAAGAGTGTGTTCTTGAAATTTAGGAAACCCTTGAAGACATCTAAGAGAGATCGAGAAACATTTTCAAACACATTGAGCTTGTATGATTCATATATAAAGAGTTTGAGAGATTGAGAAATATTTAGGTAGAAAATGAGTTTGTTCTTAAGAACTTGGATGACTATTTTCTAGTATCTCATTTGTAATCTTTTGTAACAACTTTTAAAAGTAGATTGAGTCAACGAGATGTTCTCTTCCCATAAGTAGATTGTTTGAACAAAGTGGATAAACAAGTTATTGTGTTTCTTGTCTTTTATCTTATTCTGACAAGTTAAATTTGATATCTTATTGCATAGAGAGATATTTTTGCTAAAGACCATTTGCTTTGGTGTCTTTTTTCTTTATCCCCACGCATCAAATTTCTTAGTGTGATTGAAATCTGAATAATTCTTTTGAAGTGCTTTGAATTATTCTATCAGTTTTTCACAATAAGTGGTGTTCATCGTAGGACAAAAAGATTTGTTTAAAGTAAACATCATAGATTTGAAATGATAGATCAATAACTTTTCTAGAGAAAACAATTTTGGGTTGTCAAAAGGGAATATGCAAGCAATTTTAACTCAAGAAAAGTGTATTGAGGCATTGAAGGGTGATAGGTTGATGTATGCAAGCTTATCTGAAGCAATGAAAACTGAGATGGTGGATAAGGTCAGAAGTTTCATTATCATATGCCTCTGGGATAAAGTTTTAAGTGAGATCGCCAAGGAGAAGACTATGACTTCAATATGGGCAAAACTTGAATCATTGTATATGATCAAGTCTTTGCTCACAAGTTGTGTATAAAAGAACAACTTTACTCATTTCAAATGGTAGAGAACACATCATAGTGGATCTGTTGACCAAATTTTACAAGATTATTAATGATCTTGAGAATATTAAGGTTAAGATTGATGATGAGGACAAGACTCTTCTCTTGTTGAGCTCATTACTTAGATCTTTTGAACACTTTAAGGATGTTCCTTTTTGCGGTAAGGAATGTAATATTACTTTGATGAAGTCTATACGACTATGAGGTGCATATAATTTTCAAAGGTTAAAGATTTAAAGATTGATGATAGTGGTGAATGCTTGAGTATCTTAAGGGAAGGAAGTGAACATTGAGAGATGTCCAAATCAAATCGGTTTGAGAAATTAAGGATAAAATGATTTACTTGTTAGAAAACCAGTCATTTTATGAGGGATTGTCTGAGAAACAGGGAAATGAAGATTATGTTCAGATTCAAGTTATCTCTAATGAAGATAGTTATGAGAGTGTTGGTGCACTAGTGGGGTCGAGTTTGGAGACTGAAGAGAGTTGGGTCATGGACTCAAGTTTCTATTATCACATGTATCCAATAAAAAATATTTTAAGACTTTGAAGTTGGAGTAGTTCTCTTCGGGGGCAATAAGGCTTGCAATGTTCATGGTATTGGTATGACCAGACTTAAAATGTTCGATGATTGTGAGTTTCTTCTTTACAACATGAAGTATGTTCCAAAGCTCAAGCGAAATTCGTTATCCATAAGCATTTTCATGATCTAAGTTATTGTAGTAGAGTTGAATAAGTGGTGTTGAAGATTTCGCATGGTGATATGATCATAGGTAAAAGGTCTAAACTATGCGGCTTATTTATTTAAAAGGTTCTAATGTTATTTTTCATTCATCATCAGTAAGTGAAGACTTTCATGACAATGTCAGGATATGGGATTTGAGGTCAAGGCGTGGTGGATGTCTAGAGGTTGTTTCAGAGCACTCTAATGAATTTTGCAGAAGATAAGAGATGAAAATTCATGTGACAACTGAGTTGTCATTAAGTTCTCGGGGTAAGGATGATACCACAATAGTTTACCTTGTTGGTAAGTCTTCATTTACAAGAATAAACTTTCAAACACCTATGATAGTTTGCAGTAAAAAACTTGAAAAGTATATTCAAAGGTAGCCAAAGCTTTTTCTGTTGTACAAATCAAGTTAATTCAACTTTGTGGTGAAGTTGTGACAGTGCCTTCGATGACTATCCAATATGTAGGAAGGATTATGAATTTTTGGGAGTGAAACCTAGAGGATCGAAGTCATCAATCGTAGATGTAATAACTTTAGTGAGACTCGTCAAGGGGAAGATGGGTAAAGACATAAGGATAAAACTTTAGAAACTATGGCGGAGAAGACTCAATTTGAGGTGGAGGTTCTTATTATAGATACTAGTAATAGTGAAGGAACTATTATAAAAGAATTCAATTATCATTTTACTCGTGATAAGGTAAAGAGGAAGACTGTACCATCTTAAATAGACGTTTATGCCAACCTTGGGTGTTATGCTTTGAATGTGGCTAAATGGTTTCAAAAAGTGAAAAACAAGGACCTTGATGGAGACATTTAAAAGCATGTAAAGTTAAAGATGTTAAAGATCCATACTTGTGGACTTATTAGACTACTAAAGCAGGGGGAAAAGTGGTTTGAAGCAATTGGATGAAAGTGAAAGATCAAGATTCATGTAAGGCTTGAACTTGATAAAAATGTTCAATAGATGTTGAATTGACAGAGAATGGCAAGGTGTTGAAGGGTAATTTGAATTACCATGGTTTCAAGTTAAGGTGGAGATTTTAGAAATATGTCTTAAAACCTTAAATGATGAAGAGAAAGAAGCAATTTGAAGATCGCAGAAAATAGAAATCAAGTGGATGTCGATGTTGACGGCAAAGACATAGAATTGTAATCTGGAAGATCCAAGAAGTGGTGGTCCACAATAGAGCTCTAGTGGCCGAAGGCGGTCAATCGATAGTGGAGAAGGTCTAGGATGGGTCGGCTCTGGTGGTCGATTCAGTTTTTTCGATCATTAGATCCAATCTAAGTAGTTTTCATATATTGGACTTGGTTGTTTCAATTTGGGGGTCAATTTGTTAATTAGTTGTGTTTAATGAGTTGTTTCATATTAATTTCGCTAAGCTTGAAACATCACCTTCTTCACATTCTCATCACTAGCACTATATTTCTCATTTGTTGTGAAGTCGGGAAAACAAAACTATAAGAGAAGGAAACATTATATTTATAAAAAAAATAATTAATTTTTAAGGCATCAAGTTGTTAAATTAATTAGTTCACAAAGTGTATATTTTCCTTCTTTGTTTTTAGTGAATGCTGATGAATGTTTGATGACAAGAATGCAACAAATGTCACTTGATTACCATTTTAAAGTGGAACAAGAAGTGAGCTCTTCAGCTTATGCCTTCTTTGGATTCAACGGTAACCCCTCTCTCTCTCTCTCTCTCTCTCTCTCTCTCTCTCTCTCTCTCTCTCTCTCTCTCTCTCTTCTCTCTCTCTC